ACGTGGGGCCTGTGATAATTTAAAGATAAAATATCGTGAAATCTCGCACTTTCGCGAAAAGTCAACTTAGCATTCTCGGCTACCGTTTCTAAAACGTAGCTCAACATTCACGGCATCAAAGGAGTTTCCTACCGTAACAAATATATTTTCGACATTTTGGGCTGCTTATCCAAAAACGCAGGCCGCACTGTGCATAAGGAAGCTTGTGTATCCATCGGTACCTGGTACACCGAAAGCATACATCTTTCGACATAGTAAGGCTGCCGGAGTCTCAATCCCGCGCAATCCCGTTTCAAACACATTGCTATAGGAGCTTTGTAGTTGCTAACTATTTCGCTACAGGAGCGTTGTTGTTAGCGGTTCTTTCATATCAGGTCACCTTGCAAGGCAAAGTTATTTGATATTGCGAGCACATACAGTACATACAAGGTAGTCTCACACTACTTCTCTTGCAAGCGTTGTTGTTATTGTTGGCAGTATTTCAAAGCCAAGCCGCTATAGTAGAATTGGGCTCGCAAAAGGTCCCGCCAAACAAAATATACTTAGAGCTAAATTTTGTACAGCCCATAAATCTGAGAAGCGGGCAATAGATTTGCTATCTCATAACCATGCCCAATTTGGAGCAACTTAAACAGCAGCGCGCTAATCTGCGTCGAAACATATCGCGCATTCGCAATTCTGTCGACACAAAACTTGCAATTTCATCCGCTGAATTGAATTGTCGTTTGGCTATATTAGAGGCCTACTTTAAGCAAGTTATGACAGTTCAGACCGAAATTGAGCAGCTGGATCCAGACGAAGCAGAGCGTGAGACCAGAGGAGAAATAGAAGATACGTACGTCGCTATCAAGGTGTGCATTAATGAGCAGCTAGGTTCAGATGCCCACAATTTGACTGTTGCTGACTCAGTTCATTGCGCTTCTCACTCAACTTCTATGAAGCTGCCACGTCTGTCACTACCAGTTTTTGATGGAAAATACTCCGACTATAAAAACTTTATAACATCGTTTAAGTTAGTCGTTGATAAGCAGTCTACTTTGTCATCCATCGAAAAGTTCAATCAACTAATCAATTGCTTACGTGGCCCGGCCTTAGAAACTGTCAAGGCTTTTCAAATCACTTCGGAAAATTATTCAAAGGCGCTGGAACGCCTCAAGGCCCGCTACGATAATCCAACGCTCATATTCTTGGACAACATAAATTCGCTTTTTACTTTACCTAGTGTTTCAAGGTCAAATGCGAAACAGCTTCGTAGCCTGATCGACAACTCATCAACCTTGTACAATTCATTGTTGTCACTGGGTAATGCATCGCAAATTGCTGAGGCTATGCTCATCTCCATCGTTATGGAAAGGGTGGATCAAGACACCAAAAAGAAATGGAATGAGCATTTGAACTTCAGCGATCTTCCTACATGGACATCCTGCGTTTCGGTTGTCGAACGACATTGCCAATTCTTGGAGTCAATAAGTAAGCCCGGTACCGATAGTAGCGCGAGTCAGCAAGCTATTGGTAAGCCACGAAACCAAAAACACCAGCGCCAAGGGTTGACTTTCAACTGCACATCTCAAACGTGTCATTCATGCGCTAGCACGGAGCACAGAACTTACAGGTGTCCTCAAATCGTTGGTGCTACACTCAATCAGCGTTACGACATCACTAAGCGACTGGGACTTTGTCTCAATTGCTTGGGCAAGGGTCATCAGGCTGCGAAATGCCCATCCACACACAGGTGTCGATCGTGTTCTCGCTCCCATCATACACTATTGCATCGTGATTCAGCTGGTATGTCTTCGTCTTCACCGCAGTCAACTCCGCAACTCCCTGAAGTACCACAGAAGAACTCAGAAGCATCTGTTCACACTCACACCGGCTTGAATCGAATAATTTTAGCCACAGCTTTGGTTCTGGTCAAGGATGCGTCAGGCTGTTATAAAATTGGGTGCGCTCCTAGACTCTTGTTCACAAGTCAATTTCGTATCGGATCAATTCGCACAGGCTCTCCGATTACCTCGCAAACGAAGCCATATGGAAATTCGCAGCATTGGAGAATCCCAGACTCAGATAAAACATCGAACGTCTACAACAATCAAGTCACGTTTTGGAGAATTCGAACTACCGCTAGATTTCTGTGTTACTTCGAATATTGCATATCATCCAGACACAGAAATTGATATCTCATCATGGAAGCTGCCTCAAAATACTCCGTTGGCCGACGAAGGGTTCAACAAAGCTCGTCCTATTGATTTGCTGTTAGGGACAGAAGCATTTTTCGACATCTTATCCATTGGCCAAATCAGGCTTGGTGTAAATATGCCAGTGTTGCAGAAGACGCTCCTTGGATGGGTAGTTTCGGGCCGTTGCCAAACCGGCTCCACCACATCATACAGTTACTCGATTTCCATGGACGAAGTCATCAACAACAACATAGAACGCCTGTGGCGCATTGAAGAGGTTAACACTTCTGTTGACATTTACACTCCAGAGCAGCGCAGTTGTGAAGAGGCTTTCAAAAACACCGTTCGCCGACAACCTGATGGCCGAGTGGTAGTTCGCCTCCCATTCAAAGATGATCCTGGTCTGTTAGGTCACTCGTATGAAATTGCCCGTAAACGTTTTGAAGCTCTTGAGCGCCGCTTGAGCCGCACATCAGATGTGAAAAGGCAATACGCAGATTTTATGTTAGAGTACGAACAGTTGGGCCATATGAGCTTGGTGACAACACCGAAGTTGGATGTCCCACATTTTTACATACCGCACCACTGCGTACTCAAGCCGAACAGTACCACTACGAAATTAAGAGTGGTTTTCGATGCCTCTTGTCAGACAACGACACAAAGGTCTCTGAACGATTTACTAATGGTCGGACCGACCATACAGCCCGACTTGTACACGTTACTTCTACGCTTCCGTACATATCGTTATGCAATTACCGCCGATGTCGTCAAGATGTTCAGACAGATTCTTGTCGACCCCCATGATCGCAAGTTTCAATATATACTTTGGAGAAGTACACCCGATCAACCATTACGCACATTTGAACTGAATACAGTCACTTATGGGACTGCTACCGCGCCATATCTCGCTATACGTAGCATGCAATACTTAGCTGAGCAATGCATGGACGAGTTCAAGGTAGGAGCCGAGGCTATAAAATCATCCTTCTACGTTGATGATTTCATTTGTGGAGCTAACACGTTGGAATGCCTTTATCAAATCAAAACGGAGGTAATTGAGATACTTCGTCGTGGTAGATTTGAGCTAGCGAAATGGCACTCGAACTATAGCGAGTTTGTTAATGACTGTACCATTAAAGATCTTAACTTAGAAGACGATTCAGTAACCAGCACTCTGGGCTTAAGGTGGGATCAACGAGAAGACGTCTTTTATGTTTGCATTTGTACTCAAGCGCACATCACATGCTGTCACGAAGCGGTCTATACTATCAATTGCTTCGTCTCTCTTTGACCCGTTGGGCTTGGTGTCACCTATCATCATACTTGCAAAAATACTTATACAAGAGCTTTGGTTGCTAAAATTACAGTGGGATGAGTCAGTTCCGCACAACATTCACACCGCATGGACATCGTTCCTCTCATCGCTTTCATCGTTGGAATCGCTAACTATACCGCGCTATTGCCTTCAACCCAGCGTTCAGAGCCTTCAGTTGCACGGCTTCTGTGATGCCTCAATTAGGGCTTATGGATGCTGTATATATGCACGCACAGTTGACTCTAGCGGTGAAGTCAAGGTCACGTTGATTACATCCAAGTCGAGAGTCGCCCCAACGAGGAAACTGTCATTGCCCAAATTGGAATTATGCGGTGCTCATTTGCTGTCACAACTTTACGCTAAAATAAAGGTGAATTTCGGCGATACCCAATATACAACGTATCTATGGAGCGATTCACAAATCGTTCTACACTGGATTCAACAGCATTCCGCCGCACTATCTACGTTCGTAGGAAATCGTATTTCTGAAATACAACAAAAAACATCTTGTTGCGAATGGAAATACGTTTCAACGCACTATAATCCAGCTGATCTGCTTTCCAGGGGGTGCTCAGTGAGTGAGCTGCAGTAGTCCATATGGTTCGAAGGGCCGGAATACCTGCAACGCCACCAAGACGAGTGGCCGACGCACCATCGAGGTGATATTGATCAAGATATAGTGAACTTAGAGAAACGTAAATCGGCTTTCGCTATTGTTAATGCCACTAACGACCTACTCGAAGCAGTGTATAAAATTAGCTCGCACAGCCGATGCTTGCAAATCGTAGCCTGGATGTTTAGGTTCAGCAACTTAAGTAGAAAATTGGGTTCGTTCGATACATTGTCGCCGTCACCACAAGAGCTGTTACATGCTTTGCATTGCATCATTTGGAACCTGCAAATAAGGCACTATTCCGATGACATCAAAGCACTTCGCAAAGGCCAACAGGTCTGTAGTAATCTTAAATCTTTAAATCCTTTTTTGCAGAGAACTCACGGGTTCATGCTGATGAAAGTTGGAGGTCGATTGGAGATGGCAAATATTCTGTATACACAGAAGCACCCGATACTACTTCCAGGCAAGGATGACTTTGTCCGCCAGTACGTGCAGTTCGTTCATCGCCAAAATTACCATGCGGGTCCAAAGGCATTAGTTGCACTCATACGCCTACGCTTTTGGATCATCAATGCACGGGATTTAGCTCGCCGTGTCGTCCGATCTTGCGTGCACTGCGTTCGTTATCGGCCAAAGCTGGAAGGGCAAATAATGGGTCAGCTTCCCGTCGAACGACTTACCCCATCAAGACCATTTGCAAGATGCGGAGTGGATTTCTGCGGTCCAGTCAATACGTACCTACGCCTTCGAGGCAAGGTTCCCTACAAAAGCTACATCGCAATTTTCGTGTGCTTCGCGACGAAGGCAGTGCACGTTGAAGTTGTGTCAGACTTGTCGTCCGATGCATTTATCGCCGCCCTGAAACGGTTGGTAGCCAGGCGTGGACTACCGTCCGATATCTTCTGCGATAATGCTACCAATTTCGTTGGAGCCAGCAACCAATTAGAGGCCCTCAAGCAATTTTTGTTTAAGGATGACACAATCAAATCGATCAACAAATTTTGTGTACGTGAGTTCATCAACTTCCATTTCATCCCTCCCAGAGCCCCCCATTTCGGCGGCTTGTGGGAGGCTGCAGTTAAGAGCGTCAAGGGACTAATCAACCGCACTCTTATGAACGCTCGTTTAACATTCGAGGAGCTTACAACTGTCACAGCTGAGGTGGCGGCGATTCTGAATTCTCGCCCTTTGTCACCACTCTCTTCAGACCCGAATGACCTAGCCGCACTCACCCCGGGCCACTTCCTCATTGGCGACTCATTACGTGCATTGCCCGAGACACCCGTCACAGAGCTGGGTAAGTTAGAACGATGGCGAAGAACGGGCGCGATCAAACAACAACTTTGGCGTCGATGGTCGCTGGAGTATATCAATGAGCTGCAGGTGCGTAGTAACTGGACCAAGCCATCCCCAAATGTGTGTGTGGGAGCGATGGTTATCGTGCATGACGACAATTTACCACCGCAGTGTTGGATGCTAGGTCGTATCGAAAGAGTCATACGTGGAGAGGACGATCGAGTGCGCGTGGCTGATGTTCGCACTGCAAAGGGAGTTATCCGCCGCCCCATACATAAGATAGCGCTATTACCAGTTACTTGAAAGTTCTACGTACTTTCAACGGGGCCGGGATGTTGGGTCAGATGCACATTATTTAGGTCATATCAACATTGTCTAACTTACATTTATAAGGGTTAAGGTTATATGTATATCTAGCTCTTGCTGAAAAAGCATTGTTAACTTAAGGTTTAATATTTTGCTCTTATACGTGTACTCCCGCTACCTGTCATTGTGGTTTCTTCTTTTGCCCTTTTTTCGCAAACTGATGGAGAGAAAAATAAAGTTTTTGGGCTGTGTAGTTGAACAGCGAGACAACACGCGTGTTTTATTTGCGATTTTCACCCCCGCAATTTTTTATTTAATCAAGAAAACGCTCTTGATACTTCAACATCAAAGTACAAGCAATGCAATGTCCAAGCTAGTGCTACTCCACTGTAGATGTGTATATGAATGTATGCATGTATGCGTGTAAAAAATGTCAATTCCAGTTGGTTTTTAACACATTTTAGCGGACATAGTTTTTTTGGTTTCAGCTGGTTCCAACTGTTAATGAAGCACAATTTTTATGGTTAATCTTGATGAAAGTTACATGTATCGTCGAGAACATGGTTACATGTAGAATTTTAAATTAATTAATATTCTTCTCCATATAAAATGTACGAGTATGGCTTTATTAAATGTAAACTTATGCGAAAACCTAAATGTTTCGTCAACCAAGGGTTAATTTTGGTGGCGTCATGGCAATTCGCAGAAATTTAATAATTTGTTTGTGGTTGGCGGACGGCGAGGGGAAGACGAAAGCAGAACAATCGTACATATTTATGCACATATTTACATTTATAAATGCACACATATTTATGCGTTTGTCTTCTTGGACGAATGAAAAATCATATATGTAGTGATTTAGAGATTGCCGCTTTAGTAATGTGCCGTAGCGTGTGCGCTAGAGGCGATGCAACTTTTTGGCGTCTCGCCGTTTGTCTTGGTTCAAATCCCGGACGGACCAAGTAATAAATTTTATTTTTTTTTTTTTAATTGTCATATCCATATTCGATTTTAAATTTTACTATTAGCTTTATTTAAACTAATATAAATGTATATGTAGGTACAAACGCATGCATAATTTCACATAATCGCTCAAATTTGCCAAAAGTTACTGAAAGCTTTATTGTAAATGTTTTCACTAAAATATTAGTTATTGGAATTAAAATTTTATGCGAATCCAATTTTTATTCCCATTTTTAGAAAGCGCAAGTATGTATATGTTCGTGCCACAAAAATTATTTCATAAGTAGTTAATTTTAAACACAAATATGTGTGTACACTGGCAAAGTGAGTGCATCCTGTTTTTTGTTTAATATTTGCAATGTTTTTAAGTTAAACTTTTATGTTATTTTCGACGGGAATTGCGGTTTTATGCATATAGAAAGTGTAATTTGTAAAAAATAGCGCAAATTTTTTTTTATTTGTTTGCAAACGGTCATGCGCATTTTATTCTACAAGAAATTTTTATTTGGTAAAAAGTGCAAAAAGCCGTCAGCAATAAATAATCATTAAAAATCAACCGGATTTTTTAGCCGCTTAAAACTTGATCTTGTTCCACTAGAATTAAAAAACCGATCTATCTGCGTACTCAAAATTTTTCTAAAAACTCAGATTAAACAGGTCAAAATTTAGACGAGAATTCGTTGAATTTTTCTATGTTCTGTGTAAAGTTTGAAAGTTTGACTTGTATAGTTTTGATTAAAGCATGGACCACATTTTTATAAAAAGATAATAAAAAAAAAATAATTGAAAAACATTGCAAATATTAAGCAAAAAACACCATGCACTCACTTTTGATTGCCAGAATATGTATGCATGTACATATGTGTGTAAACTTTATGCCAAACTATCATTATTTTAAATTGTATTTGCATCTTCATAAAAGGAGAACAAGATAAAAAATTTACAATTAATGAAAATTATGTGAAGATTTACCATATTTTCGTTTATTTGCTCACAAAGAACATCACATTTCATGTTGCTCAACATTGTATTATGTTATCAACATTAAATTCAACAGAATTTTTACATTCCGACTTGAACTTTTCTAACGCTGTTAATTTTTCGTCCGCGAATAGTTTCCACTTTCAGTTTGCACCTTCTCTAT